CGCTTGGCATCTGCAGCTTCCCAGCACGCTGGCCGGCAGGAATCCCGGAGCTCTCCAGAGGGAGGTGACAGTCTGACTCCGGTCCTCACGCTCACTCGGGGCTCCAGGACATGCCTGTCCAAACTACCCCCCCCCCCCGTGGGAGAGCTGCAAGGCACCCCAGGGGACGCCTGGCATCACAGTCTTAGTGCAGGGAAAACCACTGGTGTTAAGGACCCAGCGAAGGGTGTGGAGTGCGCACTTACAGGCACCCACACGCCCGGGGCTCACACCCCAACCTTCCCCGCCCCCGCACAGCTATGCCCGTTACCTTTTTTGCTCCTCTGCAGAATTTCATTTGCTTCCTTTAACGTTACCCCTGCAGGGGCCACGACCAGATCCTCCCGCCTGGTCATAATCTGAGCGAAGAGCGAGAGTCCCGGGTGAGCGAGGGCCGGCCCCACAGGACCCACGGCGGGAACCCAAGCCAGTGGCCACCAGGTCCCACTACCCTCCACCCAGGGAACGCATGGGGGACCCTGCAGGGCCTGCCCCCAGACATGCACAGGCCACCCCAAGCCACCTGGGGCGCAGCACAGAGCTGTCTTCCCCTACTGCAGGGGGGCCAGAGAGGCCTGCCCGACGGACACCCTCCCATTGGGATTTCAGCAGCAGACTCCTCTTCCAGCCACTGTCCAAGAACTCCTGCCAGGCCAGGGACCTAGCTCCAGCACAGCCCAGCGCTCCCTTCCGCGGGGCCGGGCCGGGTCTGACCCGCGCACGGCGCCTGGGCCGGCTTTCACACAGCGCTCCCTTCCTCGGGGCCGGGCCGGGTCTGACCCGCGCACGGCGCCTGGGCCGGCTTTCACACAGCGCTCCCTTCCTCGGGGCCGGGCCGGGTCTGACCCGCGCACGGCGCCTGGGCCGGCTTTCACACAGCGCTCCCTTCCTCGGGGCCGGGCCGGGTCTGACCCGCGCACGGCGCCTGGGCCGGCTTTCACACAGCGCTCCCTTCCTCGGGGCCGGGCCGGGTCTGACCCGCGCACGGCGCCTGGGCCGGCTTTCACACAGCGCTCCCTTCCTCGGGGCCGGGCCGGGTCTGACCCGCGCACGGCGCCTGGGCCGGCTTTCACACAGCGCTCCCTTCCTCGGGGCCGGGCCGGGTCTGACCCGCGCACGGCGCCTGGGCCGGCTTTCACACAGCGCTCCCTTCCTCGGGGCCGGGCCGGGTCTGACCCGCGCACGGCGCCTGGGCCGGCTTTCACACAGCGCTCCCTTCCTCGGGGCCGGGCCGGGTCTGACCCGCGCACGGCGCCTGGGCCGGCTTTCACACAGCGCTCCCTTCCTCGGGGCCGGGCCGGGTCTGACCCGCGCACGGCGCCTGGGCCGGCTTTCACACAGCGCTCCCTTCCTCGGGGCCGGGCCGGGTCTGACCCGCGCACGGCGCCTGGGCCGGCTTTCACACAGCGCTCCCTTCCTCGGGGCCGGGCCGGGTCTGACCCGCGCACGGCGCCTGGGCCGGCTTTCACACAGCGCTCCCTTCCTCGGGGCCGGGCCGGGTCTGACCCGCGCACGGCGCCTGGGCCGGCTTTCACACAGCGCTCCCTTCCTCGGGGCCGGGCCGGGTCTGACCCGCGCACGGCGCCTGGGCCGGCTTTCACACAGCGCTCCCTTCCTCGGGGCCGGGCCGGGTCTGACCCGCGCACGGCGCCTGGGCCGGCTTTCACACAGCGCTCCCTTCCTCGGGGCCGGGCCGGGTCTGACCCGCGCACGGCGCCTGGGCCGGCTTTCACACAGCGCTCCCTTCCTCGGGGCCGGGCCGGGTCTGACCCGCGCACGGCGCCTGGCCGCTTTCTGTTTATATCCCGCTGCCCGGGCCACCGAATTTCCAGGCGCAGGATCCTACCGAAATGGCTCCGGTCACGGCGCTAACCCAGCAAGGGCTGGGGCCGCAAGCCCTTTAAATAGCCGCAGCAACCCTGGGCAG